AGGGTGATGAGTGTGAGTCTGTGCTCCTCTTCCTCCTCCAACAAGTGTCATAGGGGAAGAGGGAGGAGGTGAGGAGAGGGGCCCTAGCCGAGGAGAACCAGGAGTCTCTGGGGTTTTGGGTGTTCTTTGACCTTGACTGATGTTCTGAGGTGTGGGGGTGCGGGGTGACCTCTGAACAGCACTGAAAGATGGGAATGAAGAGTTGGAGGAAGAGGTGGTGGATGCAGGAAGAGGGGGAGGATGGTGACGCCTTCTCAAAGTGTCTAGGGTGTGGTGAGCGTTTGTGCCAGTGTGGAGAACAGGGGAGGAACCATTGTAAGGGTAAAACAACTGGTGGGAAGATTTGGGGCTTGCACAGGGGTTTGCGTGGAGGTTGTTGTGGGGTCGAGCAGGGACTGGATGAAGTTTGGGATGGTAAATGCCACGGTCCACTTCTTCCGCTTCCAAAAGTATCCCCTTTGGATCGTGGCTGTCCACTCGACTGTTCACCTCTGGAAGTAGACAGACAGACAAACACACACACACAAAGCTTGTCACATCATTTCTCTACTTTCAAAAAAAAAAAAAAAAAAGGTCTGCTATACAGTTATTACTCTGAATAAAAATTCTGCCATAAATCTGTGCTCAGTAAAAGCATAGTGATGTTTGATTTGTGATGCCTGAGGTAAATGGTGTGAACCCTATGATGGAAATACTACCAAACATGAGCAGAAGAAACTGAAACATTTCACCTGTATTAGCTTTTAGGTCTGCCGCCCGCAGAGGAGGCGGGCTGGTGTGGGCTTGCTCATAGCTCCCCAGCTTAGCCGCCATGTGTTGGAGTTTACCCCGGTGAACGAGAGGGGCGCTTCCCTGCGCCTTCGGGTCGGGGATAGGTCTCTCACTGCCGTTTGTGCCTATGGGCCGAATGGCAGTGGAGAGTACCCAGCCTTCCTGGAGTCTCTGGGAGGGATGCTGGAAAGCATTCTGACTGGGGACTCCGTCGTTCTACTGGGGGACATCAACGCCCACATGGGCAATGACAGTGATACCTGGAGGGGCGTGATTGGGAG